TTTTCGCTTACCTTGTTTGCTTTGTGGTTTTGGTAATTCAAACTTCACCCACTGGTATTTAGTACATTTTCGCGCTCCAGGCAAGCTTTGAATCAAATACTGAATGGTTGGGTGAGAGAAACCGAAAAACTCTGGACCCGAGCCTGTATTAGACGCGTCCCTACCCCTGTCGGGAGAACAAATGTCACAGGTGAGGCACACACATTTAAAATTAAACGAGCGTCACTGCAAATGGCAATTTGCAAGACATCCTCTAGAAGCAGAGAGCAGGTTATTAGGTTTCTACTGCAACCTTCTTTAAATTTAGAAAAGTAAAATCAGCAGCTTTCCGCAGTCACAGGTACCTGGCTTTATTGACCGCCTTCAGTACAACGCAGTGGCAAGCTGTGGCCGAAGAGGCTACGATTGGGTGGTCTGGGTCATCCTCAGGACACATCTCAAACTGGAAGCAAATACAAGGAAGCAAAACTATGAGAAAAGTGGGATCGCTTGGAGTATCTGAGCAAACTGCACCCTCTTACCCTACCCCTAAGCCAACAACAGCAACTGATGACAAGTTCACAGTGTAATTTAATTTTAATTCAATTTATTAGATTCGCCGACAGGCGGGGACACCGCAACAGTTTGCGCCAATTACTGCGGGCTCAGTAAATCCACCCATCCCACCCCAAGGGAGGACATCCACCTCACTGTAATCTCGTGCGTGGGAAATGAACGTCTCCTACCCCTAACCCTGCAGGAGACGGGGCCTACGGTATATTCGTCCTTATCCGAGAAGACTAGAATATCTATCCATTTCTTGATATTATAGAAAGGTAGCAAATTCTCCTCAGTTATTTTAAGATCATGAGTATTGGTCCGGCCGGGGCCGAGTGTTGGCTTGGGGGAGGGATAAGTGCACAACATTACAGCTTTGGATTTTCACCGAACGACGTTTCGAAAGAAGTCAGATACAGACATTACACATTGCCGTCATTGTAAACTTAACGATCTGGCCCCGGTTGTTCTAAGGTGGATAACGCTGCCTACTAGAGAAGTCTCAATCCAGTGGATGGCGCAGTGCGTTTTGGTAACACTTATCCCTTGGATAGCGATTTATCCGTTGGATGGCGTTATCTGCCCTTTCAACATCTGGGCCCAGCTTTGGCTGTCGCAGCCTGCTCTTTGTATTTGTTCACGTAGTAAATAATCTATTGCTGAAGTGATGACGATAATGGCAAATTTATATAGCGCATTCTCTAAATAAATATGCCCTCATGCGCTAGACAATACTTTGCGGGGGACTTCGGCTGTACTGCATTTAAATTTGAGAAGTTTACAATTTTTGAAAGGGAATTATGCAGGTGCCCCCAATTTAGTAATTTTTGGAAACAAGGCCAGACAACAATACCGGGAGCTACGTTCCCTACTCTTCGCGAAAAGTGCGAGGGTTCTTTAACGTTCCCTGCTAACCAGTATAGGGGGCTGACAGTTTATCTTCCTAATCCGAGAAGAATAGAACACCAAACCATTTATGGACGTTAAGACAGCAAATTCCCCTCATTTTGTTTTAAGAACCTATGTGCCGATAATTTACACGATGTCTCACCCAAACAACGGTTTTACGTAATCAGTGATTTGTTAAAAAAAAAAAAAACGGCTAAACCTTGTTCAAATATTCGGCCCCAGTAGTTGGTTCGGTCTGGGGACCGCGATTATCGATCTAGGGGACTGGTCTCAGGGCCTTCCACGTTGTCGCTATCTTTGGTTACACAGTTACACTGTACTAAGATAGCAATATAAGATAGCAATATTAGTTGGAACAGGATACGCGAAAGCCGCGGTAAATATAAATTGCGCATACTTGCGGTCCGAATCCCCCATCCAGAATCTTGCAGGTGTAAATACACTTCTTCTCTGGATTACGCATGCTCGGATACGTCCTGGAGCTGCAGTAGCCCACGGGCCAAATATAACGTTCAGAGTGGAAACCGGGCCGGTCATGAACAATCTGTTAAGCAACAAAAGTTGTCACAAATTTTCGGTGAAATTCAGTCCAGTGCTCCTTGCGTGCCGTACATTATTTAATTTGATAAGAAAGATGGTAAATTTTGAGCTTAGTCCCCAAATTAACCCTTTAATCTTGAGATAATTTTTTCTGAGTATGTGCTGCTGGCCTCTCGGAACCCCATGTGGTCTATCCTGTGGCCAATTATAGACGCCATCTTGGTCACTTTTGGTAATACGCTAACAACTTTTTAGCCCCGAATCTTCCCATTTTGAAATCCCTACTTACCAGAATTTTCTTATCCCTTGAAATACCGAGAGTGTACAACTCCATTTTAGCGACTCTACTGAAAATGCAACCCATTATAATCAAATTCAGTCGCGAAAGTGCAACCCCATCCAGCGGCACATTCCCATTACTCCTTCATCTCGGACATCTCGGGTGGATCTAGACATAACCGTCCCGTGTCGCACATAGACTGAATTCCCTTTTGAAGAAAGGGATTCATTAAGGTATATGGTCTTTGTGAGACATGGGACAACTCAGTCCCAGTCCTAACATGAAGAATACGGAAACGGTTCATATGACTTACCTCGCCAAGGCTATGAACTGTGAGACCTCCTAGCACAATGGGAAAAATGGGTTTGCCTGGGTAAACAGAGAACAACAACCTTAAGTAGAAATATTTGAAGCGTGATCGATATTTTACTATGACACTGTTCAATTGTGATTCATCATCATCATCATCATCAGTCTTCTTCGTGCTCTGTTGCGCATAAGGCCTTGATAATTCTCTTCCATCGGTCCCGGTCTCATGCAATAAACCTCGCTTCTTCCCACGACTTCTAACCTGCCTCACTTCTTTCCTTTTCAATCGAATTCAATTCAATTGTGATTACATTAGTTTTTTGTTGTCGATGTTGTTCAGTTGTTGCTTTTATGAGCGACACTTTACCTTTGGCATCCACTGCAATGGGCTGCACCTTCCTCTTTATGGCAGTACCTGGCTTCTTCCTTTTAGGTTTCACAGGAGGAGTACCTTGATTGGCTACCGTTGTGGCTACAGCGAAAGAAAATAGATGTCGGAACTACATATGTAGGATAGGGACGAATAAATGGAGGTCCCGTCTCCTGCAGGGTTGGGGGTAGGAGACGTTAATTTCCCATACACGAGATTACTGTGTGACGGATGTCCTCCCCTGGGGTGGGATGGGTGGGCAGATAGAGGACCACCCTAATTAACTTAGTGTTACTGGTAATATCCTCTGTAAATATTGTTTATCATTATTATTATTATTATTATTAGTATGTAGGTATTTTGACCTGGACCAACAATATGAGCCAATGGGAGGTGTCATTACTTCTAAGACTATTGTAACGCTAGTACGCACATTGAAATTTGTTTTATAGTGGTACGATAGGCATGTAGGTTCCTATATGAAGTCTTTATTAAAGAATGAGACACAACCTGCGGTATGATTTTACAATTTATCAACATCTAACGTCAAAGACAAGAACGAACCGAACGACAGACAAGGACCAGTTTTCTTTCGCTTGTTTTCCAAGACAGCAGTTGTTTCTTCTGTTTTCCTTTGAAATTTTGCAGAAAATTGGTGCACGACCAGCTAGAATTATTCCCCTCAAGCATACGCAACATTTGATCGCTGTGTCGATAAATACCAACCTTTCGATGATACCGCTGCAGAAGCAGCAGCAACAGCAGCAGTTGCGGCGCTAGGTACGGAGTTCTCAGGTTGCGCTTTAGGCTTCTTTGGTTTGGCAGGCTTTTTCTTTTCTTGCCTTGCCGGCTTCTCCTTCTCTTTTAACCCGTCCTTGCCTGTGAATGGGGAAGCAAACAGCATTTATTTCACTTCTAACTGATATTTCTTAAGTGCACCCGTCCCCCTTCCCCCTGCATTTAAGAGGTGGTTTCATTTAACGACCTAAAACTTTTTAACTAAGAAGACGAAAAAAAAGAGGGACCCGAAGAATCTGCAAGGCATGCGATACTAAGAGCCAATCCAAAAAATGTCTCCTTTGGTTAAACACCGTGCGGATGTCGAAATTACAATCAGGAAGGTAGCTGGAGTGTAACTCGGTGAGACCCCTCCACCATTTAAACAATCCTTGCAATGCCGCTGTCCCCAACATCACGCAGTGATCAGTAAACCAGATAAGACAAACCTGTACTCTCTGTAGCAGCCTTTTGAGCTTTTGCTGCCGTTCCTCCTGAAGACTTGGGTTCTTTCTCAGTCTTTGGCTTCACTGGTGTCTTCTTGGCCTTCACTTTGGGTGGCTTGGCGTTTTCCGGGACAAAAGGGGGAAACATCATCGGCGGTAACATGTCCGGAGAAAAAGGAGGATAAGGCGCAGCTTGGAACATCCCTGCCTCAGCAGCGGCCTGATACTGAAACAACCTCTTGAGAATGAACCTTGGAGAAAATGAATGAATAAGTACGTAAATGAGTTAGGTGCAATCAAAGCTGCTGGCTTCTTTCCATTCATTGCATTTTGTATAACTATGTGTTTGTTTGGTTGCGATATTCAAAGAGGCTGGCCCGGTTCAGCTTTAAGCTGGTTTAACCCTTGACACCCTAACATCAGTATGCATATTCTCCATACTGTTCTCTATACATTTCCTAAGGTTCTGACAAGGAGAATTTGTTTAACAATCAAGAGCTTCTTCAGTTGATGATCGTTTCTTTTATTCCCGTGACTTTAATGTTTAATTCAGGGTGACATTGTAAGGAGAAATTTCATGCTTCTTACTTGTAGGGGTTAAAGGGTTCAAAGAGGACTTGTATAAACAATAACAGGGCCAGACGACAGAGCTGAATAATGAAATGCTACGTCAGCGGGTATGCGGTTAACAACGCGGGCTCAAGTGTCCTAGGTCTAACATTTAGCGAAATTAGCGGAAAATAATAAGGGCTGACCTTTAAAACCGAGGAACTCTGTTTTCGTCGAAGGGAACGACGAAAACAGGCACTTTCCTATTTCCAAAGGTTTTAAGCAACAGAATAGGAAATCAACCATGCGAACGACTCAAAATCCGTGTTTCCGTGGCAAAACCTGGCGCATGCGTATACGTTATTCAGCTCTGTCGGGCCAGACCATAACAATGAGAGCTACTTGTAGATTCCTTACTCTTTTTGGTGTCCAATTAGAAAGCTCTTGCTACCTTGGACACCGTGCACATCTCAATCTTATTTTTATGGCCAAATATTACCTTTATTTTTTTTTCTCTTTCTCTTATCTTTAATATAAGCCCTGTAAATGTCATTTATAGTGTGAAATAAAGAATTAAATTGAATTTCTAGACGTGCGTAGGTTCTTCGCCTGCTAACCAGCACAAAGAAGGTGCAAGAGATGGTGCCTACGGTTTTTCCTTCTTATCCGAGAAAAATAGAATGTCTAACCATTTTCGGTTGCTACAGCAAAGGCAGCGCATTCTCCTCAGTTATTTTAAAACCCTGAGTGTTGCTCCAGTTTGGGGATTGAACCCTCGAACTCTTGTGCGGCAGTCTAGCGCTCTACAACATGAGCTAACCATATGCAGTAACCAGTACAACTAACAGTAGCTTTCCAACATCATGTCCCCCTTTTATCAAAAGTTTGGTTGGTCAAACAACCAGTCTTAAGCCTGTGTATCTTAAAACTAATTAAAACCAATAAGAAGTTACTGTACACCGATAATCCTTACTTTCTCTCTGCTTTTGCTCTTTGAAACTTTGCCTCAGTTCTCTGGACTTCATCGCATAATGCTCCATTTTCCTTCAAAAAATGTCAATGAAAATGGGAATATCAGTTGATTTTGACAACCCTGCTAGAGCAATGTACTCTCTGATAACTTTCGATACTCAGTTCAAAATTTCACTTTAGATAACGATAACAACAAACTGTCAATACTTACAAACACCAGTTGTTTTACCATCCGTTTTATCCTAAGGTATTTTCTGTTGTAGTCAATGGGTTGTTTTGAAGTTGTAGTTTTAACAGACTGCAAATCAAAGAAGTTATTCTAATTGTTGCTGTTGTTGTTTTATTTAATTCAAGTGACAGTTACTTCAAGCAAAACCCTGCTATAAGTAAAGTGTGTGTTACAGGTATACCTTTCAACGTTAACATAATTATATCCCTTCTATAAAAATACGGTGCATATAGTTTTCATCTACAAATCTCAGAATTGTTAACCTGAAATTGACAATTTGCACTATATCTTTCATTAACTAAGAAATGATAAACACCACAGCGTACACTATCGAGTTATGGATGCACGCGGAAGGTTGTTAAGCACGAAAGAAGCGCGAGAGTCGCGCAAGGCGATAACTGAGAGCGGCTTTAGCTTCTTAAGTGCTCAGCAAACCTTCCAAGTGCATCCATCACTCAATGGTGTACGCTGTGATGTTTATCATTTTTTTTATAACATAACATTGATACATTGCAGCAAAAGAGTTGCCTTTCATTTAACGTGGAAATCTTACACGACCAGAAAAAACAAGCGCATAGAAACTAGCCTTTGCATTTGCTTACGTCAGCAGCGTACACCCATGGGCAAATAGCGTACACTGAATTGACCAATCGGAACGCGCGTTTTACTTTGGTTATGTTATAATTGGTCACTCAAGCGGGCTGTGTTTCACAGAACTGCTGGCTAAATTCGAAAGACTTAGTTTGTTTGAATATAAATCTTCCGCCTCTATTTCAACTCAAAGATATGATAAACTAATATCTTAAAAACTTTGTTTATCCGATTCAATTTGCAACCCAGACACAAAAAAGGTTTGAAAAAACGTGCGTAACTTACAGTACTGACCTGGAACTCAGTTAACAAAAAGTATTGAATTTAATTTCTTTTTAAAACTTTTGTTGGTTAGAGATGCAAGGACAACTAAATGAACCCTAGCTTTGATTTCTCTCTCACTCGAGCTCAATGAGTGTAGAACTGTCTTAAATTTAAGTATTCACCCCCACTGACCTATTGGCTATTATTTTTTCTTTCCTTCTTTCCTTTGCAATCTCACAAGCCCCAGATGAAGGAAGTTAAATACAAGTATGTGTAGTTATGCTTATGTCTCTCAGGTAAAGCAGGTAAAGCCTGCTTAAGAGCCAAGTGGCTCATGAAGAAACTAGGAGTATTTCTACTCCCCCCTGGATGGGATGCCAGTCCATCCCAGGGTTACCCCCAGCATCAAATTTGCTGGTACCCATTTAAACACCTGGGTGAACAGAGGCACTGTGAGAGTAAAGTGTCTTGCCCAAGAACACAACACAATGTCCCCCGCCAGAGCTCAAACCTGGACCACTCGATCCAGAGTCAAGAGCACTAACCATGAGGCCACTGCGCCTCCACTAACACCTGTCAGTCTTATTACAAACTCAATCACCTGATCATCACCCTCTGTTGTCTCATTATCCATGGAATCATCGTCATCTTCGTCATCATCATCCTCGTCAACATCGACTTCCTGTAAGATTATGTTTGTCACAAAATTAACTCTTTCTCTCTTAAGATCTCATTAGTAATTGTCCTTACTGTTTTCTATACTTTTCTTATAATGCAAGTTTAGAGAATTTGGTATTGGATCAACTAATAATCCCCTGATTTATATTTTTCTTTCTTCTCAACACTTGTCTGCTTGATATTGCATTGATGCTGTAAGGAGAAATTCTGTCTTGGTCACTCATGGAAGTGAAAGGGTTAAGTGTTTGGAGGAGACTGATTCAACTGCCACAGCTTAACTGTCCCAGTTTTCCAGTTATTCTACTCATTGATTTGGAAATGAGTCAACTGATATTAACCCCTAATTGATACTTTTCTTTATTCTCATCACTTGACTGCTTAATATTGTATTGATATTGTCAGGAGAAATTCTGTCTTGGTCATACACTTTGGGTGTTAATGGGTTAAAGAACAGTAAGTCAAAATCAATTTGTTATCAACAGTATAAAGAACTCACCATCAAGGCAAACCATCCAAAGCGATTATCAATTCTTTTAAATCTGGAGCTTTCACGAAAAGTCTGTAAGGGAAAACTTATTCTAATTATTGATCAGCCGAACAAATCATGCAAATGAAGTAAAAAGTTAGATCCCATTTTCTCGCCACAGAAATCCAGACATGTCATTTGATTCCAACATGAACATCTTCAAAACTTACTTTGTGATTTTTAAGCCAAAAATGAAAGAAATTTACTTGCCTCGCGATATAAGATTGACTCTAGACTGTTCAAAGCCTTTGATCTGCAATTAATCACCAAATGGTCAGTTCATCAAAGTTACTGGTAACAAGTACTTTAAAACTTTTAAATACTGTATTTCCTTGAAGAAGCCCCCCACCCTCTAATAGGCACCTCTCCTTTTAGCTGAAAAAATTCAGTTCTTTCATTATTATAAATGTTACTCTCAAATCAAAACAACTAACATAGAAATTTTCCTATACCAAAGAAGAAAGGAAAATAAATTAAAGGACACTCAAGGAGACACCACAACACATTTGTCTCGGGTTAAACATTTCTAAAACACTGATATACCAGGTATATAAAAATTTTAAAAAATGTGATCATCAGATCCATCACCAAAAAATGATTTTCCACAGGTAGTTCTTTAAGTTTTTTTCAGTTTTCTTCTTTTATTGCCATTGAGAATCATTTTCATCTCTGGATTGCTTCAGGCTTTCTTTTTTCCACCATGTGTTACACACAGAAAATTTTAAGAGGCATGAGGAATAAGAGAGTGTTTCCTTTTTGGTCTTTTTTTTTCATTGCCATGGTCCAATGTTTGGTGCTCTGAATTTCAGGTGATGAGGACCAGGTTCTAGACCCGGCCTTGTTGGTGTATTGTGTTCATTGGCAAAATGCTTCACTTTCACAATGTCTCTCTCCACTCAGGAATAAAAATATCTTATTGGACGTTTTGTTGTGTAGTATCGCTGAGTACTTTTATGAGTTGTGCTGTATTTTGACTTGCCCTAAGGGCTTGCCAAAATA